GACTAAAGATCTTTTCCTGCTATTTCCAAATTCTTTTTAAACCCAGTTAGGGTTAGGAACCAGGACTAAAGATAATAGCAGCTGTGTCTTGAATTTCATTGCATATGTGTTTCTAAAATAGTAAATAATGCATTACAATTATTTAAAGTCGAACAATTAATGATAAAACCTTCGAAAAATTATTGTTGTATGTACTAGAATACGTGGATAATATATAATAAGCACATGAATGATTTAAAATTTTTAAAAATTCTAAAAATCATATATAATTAGCATATGCACGATATTAAATTGTTAAAAATTCTAATTAACATATGTAAATAGCACATGCATGATTTAAAATTAATACAAAATCTAATAATCATATATAACTAGCATATCATGATATTAAATTGTTGAAAATTATAATTAACATATGTAAATACCACGTGCATGATTTAAAACCTTTAAACATTCTAATAATCATATATAACTAGCATATGGATGATTTCAATTTGATTAAAATTCTAATAATCATACATATTTAACATGTGCCATACAACAATTGATTTGTATGGATATTCAGTACATCCAACATAGTTTACATCGTGTACAGAACAATTACGGCAATACATCGGCGGTTACGGTTGACCGCACGTACTTTCTCCTCACTATTGTTCCTTCCTTGTGATCACTACGTGAGTAAGGGGTGTCTTCATTTGATAGAAGGATGCTAGGGTCAATCGTCACCGTGAAAGAGGGTTGCCCATCAAACTGATCGTAATCCTCGTCAGTCTTGTCCTCTACTCCGACGATTTTTCTTTTTCCTGGGAGAACCACGTGGCGCTTCGGCTCGTCAAGCCCTTTGGCCTTTTTTCCTTTGCTAGACATGTCCTTGACGTAAAAAACTTGGGTTACATCATTGGCAAGGACAAAAGGTTCGTCCGAGTATCCAACCTTGTTAAGGTCAACCGTTGTCATCCCACTGTCATCAATCGTTACGCCTCCACTAGTCAACCTAACCCATTGGCACCGGAACAGAGGGACCTTGAGAGGTCCATAGTCAAGTTCTCATATGTCCTCGATGGCACCGTAATACGTGCCATTTGTACCATCGTGTCCCATGGCATCGATACGAACAGCACTGTTCTGGTTCGTGCTCTTCATGTCTTGGGCCCTCGTGTAGAATGTGTACCCATTGATTTCATATCCCTGGAATGTCACGACTGAGCCAGATGGTCCCCTCGCCAGGAAGGCCAGTTGTTGGTTAATCGTCTCGTTACCCATGAGATGTTGTCGCAGCCACTTGGAGAAAATATCAATGTGATGCCTTGTAATCCATGCATCGGACTTACCGATGATTCTAGCGCGAACTAGAGCCAAGTGCTCCTCGATGTAGGGAGCCACCAATGAAGATTGTTGCAGAACCGTGAAATGGGCTTTACGGAATAAATTATTGTCTACCATCATTATTGCTTTCCTTCCGAGAGTCCCCTTTCCCCGTAGTCTCCCTTTATGGCGTGATTCAGGTATCCCGATTGGGCGATGCTTGCCTCTGGACGAGCGCGGTTACGAACATACTTCTTCAGAACGCCCATGTACTTCTTGAAAGGAAACATGTTGTGTAGGTACACAGGACCGAGAATACCGATCTCTTTGACAAGGTGACAAAGCAGATGCGTCATTATATTGAAAAATGAAGATGGAAATATCAACTCAAAGCTGACAAGACATTGCACCACATCATTCTGCAGGGCTTCTAATCTATCAGGATCGATGACCTTCTGCGAAATTGCGTTCATGAAAGCACATAGCTTTGTTATTGTTGCCCAGACATTGTCTGGGAGGATACCCCTTATTACAACTGGTAGCAGCTGTGTCATCAGCACGTGACAGTCATGAGACTTTAGATTTGTGAACTTCTTCTCCTTCGTGCTTATTATTCGCTTTATATTCGTGAAGCATCCAGACGGTACCTTGATGCTCTCCAAGTATTCAAACATACTTTCCTTCTCTGCCTTGCTAAGAGTGTAGCTGGCTGGACTCAAGTAATGGCTTCCTTTCTCCTTTGGTTCCGGGTGAAGGTCACCGCGTTGTTCCATATGCTTCAGATCATTACGTGCTTCCAGTGTATCTTTCGACTTTTCATATACACCTAGGAAGCCAAGAAGGTTTACGCAAAGATTCTTAGTGAGGTGCATCACGTCGATTGCGTGGCGGACGTCCAAGAATTCCCAATAGGGTAACTCCCAAAATATAGAGTTCTTTTTCCACATCGCCGCGTGACCATCTTCGCTCTCTATAAGCTGGCTGCTAGGCCCATTTCCAAACACTACTTTAAGATCTTTAACCATAGGAAACACTGTTTTCCCGCCGCGATGTTTAGGCTTCGTACGGTGATCCGCCTTATGTTCAAAGTGCTTGCCTTTCTTCCGAACCTGGTGGTTTGTTGCAAGGAATCGACGATGACCCATGTACACAACCTTCCTGCAGTGCTTAAGATACATACTTTCTGTTTCATCCATACAGTGAGTGCAAGCCTTGTACCCCTTGTTGGACTGCCCGGATAGGTTGCTAAGTGCAGGCCAATCGTTGATGGTTACGAACAGCAGCGCTCGTAGGTTAAACTCCTCCTGTTTGTCCTCATCCCACGCTGGGACACCTTCCTTCTTCCACAACAGTTTAAGATCTTCGACCAGTGGTCTTAGGTACACATCGATATCGTTACCAGGTTACTTGGGGCCTTGAATTATAATTGGCATTATTATGTACTTCCTCTTCATGCATAGCCACGGGGGGAGGTTGTAGATACACATCGTAACGGGCCAACTGCTATGGCCGAGGCTCATCTCGTCGCAAAAGTATACATGCCATCCATACTTAAACCAAACCGTATGTATCATGCGTACTTTCCAAAGTCTTTAAATTTTCTGTCGATGTTTCGCCACTGCGAACCATCGGCGGGGTGTCTCAGCAGCCCGTCCTGTTGACGCTCTTCAGCGTGCCATCGCATCATTCTAGCATTCCCCTTGTTCCTGAACAAACGCCTTAGCCGTGGTATTATAGGGAAATACCACATCACCTTAGCAGGAATTCTCTTCTTCGTTAGCTGCCCGTCAACTTCTCTTGGATCATCTCGTCTAATCTTGTATCATAGTGCTTTGCAAACGGGGCATGCTTCTAGATTATCGTACTCCTCACCGCGACATAGGATACAATCATTCGGACATTGCGTAAATCTTCTGAACTTCCACTCCTACAAGGCAGACTATCTTCTTAGCCTCGTACGTAGTCTCCGCCAATTTGTTTCCCTCCAGAAGAATGTTCTTGATGAGTTTCAATAAATCGCCAAATACCTTGTCACTAACACCATTTTTGGCCCTCCATTGCAAGAACTCCAGAGTGGTATCCAACTTTTTGTGCCCCTGCTCGTAACCTGGGTACAACGACGTTCTGTGGTCCTCTAACATCTTGTCCAATTTATGGGCCCTCCTTTTCACTTTCGCAATCCTCCTTGGCGACCTACAACATCTGACTAAGATCATCCGCAAAGTTGTTACCATCAGCATCCATTTCATCCTCGCCCGTCTGATTTCCTTCAAATCCAGCGTACTGAGCAAAGTCCGGAATATTGTCGTCTTCCACTTCATCTTCTTCCATTTCAACACCTTGCTCTCCATGGGATGTCCAACAATTATAGCTTGGCATGAACCCCGACTCAAAAAGGTGGAAATGAATAGTCCTGGATGCAGAATACTCCTCCCGATTCTTACACTTATTGCATGGACAACAAATAAAACCCTTTTGCCTGTTAGCTTCGGCCACTCTCAAAAAATAATGCATGCCGTCAAAGAGTTAATAAACTCTTTGGACCCGCCGGTCAGCGTACATCCCATTGCCGATCCATCTACATGACATGAAAAAAAATCGTACACACATAATTATTCGTACAATAATGACAGTCATACAATAATTATAAAATAATTACAAACTCTTTCAACAGTCACACAATAATGACATATCATTATTCATACAAAAATTATGAAATATTACACCGAATAATTATATATTTACTATTTATAAAGTTTTAAACTAATATTAATGTGTTGACTTATTTTAATTTTTCATTTTACTTTATTTTCTATTATTCAAGATTAACTTTCACTATATTTTCCTTCTCAACTATTTTATAAAACCTTCTTTAGCAAATAAACTAAATTTCTATATATTCTTTCTTCTCCACACAAATTTTCTCTCTCATCAACTAACAACAAAATTTTGGAGACAAAAAAGTGTGCAAAACATAGATCCAAATGTAATATGAAAAAAAAAACATTGGAGGATGAAGTTGCTACCCTTTTAGGCACCTCCGATTTGTATATAATCCCCAGAATAAATTCACTAGAAATTTTGGCATGCCTCCCCTCTTTTTTGAAGAAATTTTGAAGCTTGCTCGGGGCTGGAGGAGGAAGAAGACATATATATAGGGGTGGGACTTTAGTCCCAGTTGGTGTTATGAACCGGGGCTAAAGATCGCCGGGATGTTTACACCAACCGGGACTAAAGTATCTTTAGACCAACCGGGACTAAAGATCCCGAGGGGGCCTGACAGGCCCTGACAGCATTTGAACCGGGACTAAAGATCATCTTTCGTCCCAACCGGGACTAAAGATCAAATATGCCCGTTACCCTTTTTAACCGGGACTAAAGATCATCTTTAGTCCTGGTTTTTGTTGCAACCGGGACTATTGTGGAATTAGCCCGACCGACGAAAGATGGTTTCTCCACCAGTGAACCACAGTAGACAAAGTCTCTCCTAATTAAAATAATATTAAGTAATATGTCCTATAACTTAATGTGAAATACTAGAGAAAGAAATCAATTAAGAAGCATATTTGATTGTGTTTTAATTACTACATGGATGAAATATTGATATGTGTGTGTGTGTGTGTGTGTCGTATAGTAACACATAGATGCATGCCTGTATATATATATGCAGTATGTTGTGGAGCATGGAGGGGAGTCAGTGCGAGCGATGATGGTGATGAGGTTGAAGGGGTTAATGGTTATGATGAGCTGTCAAAAGTACGGATCGAATGTGATAGAGAAATGCCTGACATTTGGTAGCATCCATGACCGTCTCGTCATCGCAGCTGACATCGCCGGTGCCGGCGAGGACCAAATCCTGGTCAGTACTACATTTTGTCATCGATCACACACACAAAGACACACAAATACACACACACAAACACATGTACACACAAAGAGACACACACATAAACACATGTACACACACAGACACACACATATGTGCTTGTGTGTTTATGTTGATGCTAATGTTGATGGGCATACATATATGCAGATGATGATGATGGACGAGCATGGAAATTACGTGATACAAAAGATGTTGGAGACGATAGCGGATGAGTGGGTGGTGGACTTGATAGTCACAGTTGTCAACCGCAACTTCTTCAGGCTCATCCACAACATCCATGGCAGGCACGTCCTCGCCCGCCTCCAAATCATGCTCGCCGCTCGCGGTTCGTATATACCTTAATTACTCTCTTAGTTTCATTTTTTTTACCTAGCTTACATTGTTCAGTTCAATTCAATTCATTATCTACTAATTGATCCATTAGCTTGTTCTAGACAATTATATATGTATAATTTCCCATAAACAAGTACTAGTACTAAATTGATTCATTCAATTCATTGATTGATTCATGTGTCCAATCGTTGCTGCACGCAGAGAGGAGGCGGCTGCTGGCTCTTCTCACCCCGCCGCTCTACTACATGGGTTAATTTTAGTTGACAAAGAGAGTATAAGCTAGTTGTTGGGTGAATTAATGTTGCTTTCCTTCGTTGTACCATACATGCTTGTTGTAACTACATTTCATCAGTCCGGTGGTGTTGTACAATACAATCAGTTCATTAGAACTGTAGCGAACAAGCCTTTTAATTTTAAGCAAATTTTGCTACTGGACACCGTAACTTCGTGGTTTAGCTATATCCTATAGGACAAGGCACGAAGTGACTTTTGGGGGAAAACACTCCCAAAAGTTGGATATTTGCTGGTGGACACCGCACTCATTAAAATAATAATTTCCGGTTGAAGAGGAGAGAGAAATCATGTGAAATGTCAAAAATGCCCTTGGGCCCACATGTCACTCTCCTATCTATCTTCTCCCTCCCATGTCGCTCCGCCCTAGCCCTCCCGCAGCCGTGGGACCTCGCCTGCCGCCATCGTCGCTGACAAGTGAGATGAGAGAGCGAAGAGGAGGAGATATAGAGAGAAGAGAGATAGGGGACCTGACATGTGGGCCCAAGGGCATTTTCGATCTCGTTGTTGTGTTTTGCCGGCAAGTATTTACTCTTATATGTTTTACGTAAATGTATGAAACAAACTTCCATTCCTTTCAAGTTGCATAATATAGGTTACAATTCCGGGAAGCGGAAAGAACAAGGCAACCAGTTGGTCATTTGATCCAACTAGGGTTCACAGGACGCAAAATATTGTACAGCTTCATGAGAATTACCCAGAACTAAAGGATAAGATATATGAGGAAAAGGAAGCATATATCAAGAAATTGCACAAGGAAAAGAAGGTCGAGGAAGCGACATACTTGGGATGAGCAATGCTCTCACACAAAGATAAAAATGTCTTGATGGTCCCTTACGCTTTTATGTAAGCAGCAACTCTTCCATTTGATTATTATATTCGTAGTAATACATCATTACTAGCAAATGTCAACTCCAATTCATCTATCTTGTTTGCAGCGGCTACTATATTTTATTCCTAATATGTCCAAAGGACCAATTGATCGTAGTGCTTGACCCAACACAGTGTGATAAGCAAAGCTACATGGAGTTCCTCATTATTCTAAATTTGTATAATAAAATTCCCCCTCAATACCTATTTGCTATTCTGAAATTTTTAAATAACTCGAACAAATGTTTTATCGGCACATTGCACATGGGTTTTACATCACACATAATGGGCTAATAAAGGATCCACAGGACAAAACTAAACATCAAGACAAACTAGCTGGTAATTATGTTCACAGTGTTTTAAGCAAATACAATACCCCCTCAATACATATGCCATGAACACAAATTCTTTGAATGAATACTTGTTTATAATGACCGGTGTGATAATTATGTTCACAGTGTTTTAAGCAATCCCGAGCACTAACCTATGTGGATATTATGTGTGTGAGATTCTTAGGTCAACGGGAAGTACACAACAAACTGCAAAAATGTAAGTTCGGAGATTGTTCTCTACAGAGTATTTCATCCGCAATTCATTTCCTAACATTTATTGTCAATTTTGTCCATTGATCCCTCAAATCCCTCATGTAGCAAATCGGTTTGACAATACATCAATTATGAACGTATGCACTGACATGTGCCACTTCATTTGCCGTCACTGCTGCAATGCCCTAGAAAAATTCTATGACAATGAGAGCCAAACTGGTATTAGAAGAGAAAATTCAAGCCCATAAGAGAGGAGAAATTTGCATATGTGCCACTCAAAAAACATAGTTTCGCTAGAATGCCACTCTAAATATGGGATTCGATCAAATGCTCAACTCGCGGGCATTCGTTGCAATGCCACTTTTGGGCTTTGTTGCATTTCGAAATTAATTTTCCTCAATTTCATATTTTCTCGGACGCTTTTGCCCTTGGGACTGGTTGAATTGGACGCTGAGCCCCGACGAACAGCGTGCGCGAGCACCAGCGACACCGGCACCGCCCCGATCCCCCACCGTACTGCCTCCTCTCCCACTAGCTGCGCGCAGCCTCTCTCCGCCAGCCGTTCCACTTCCGCTCCGACACTTCAGCCATGGCCAGCTGCCGCCAGCCACCACGTATGCCTCGCGGCTTCCCGGTCCGATGGCGAGGGCGACGACGGCGTCGCGGGGCCAGTGGGAGGTGTCGGGGCGGGGGCTGGTAGGCGACGAGCCGCCGCTAGTGGCGCCGGCCATGGCATGTGGCCTTCCTCCTCCTCCTCCTCCTCCCGATCTGATGGCGAGGGTGACGGCAGCGTCGCGGGGCCAGGGGGAGGCGTCGAGGGTGGGGGCTGGTAGGCAGCGCGGCTGGCGACGAGAGGCGGCGGCACAGCTGGTGAGAGAGGAGGCGGCACAGTGGGGGACCAGGGAGGGGCGGCGCGACGTCTCGCACAGCGACGCAGCGTGGTGTTGTGCGGCGCCGGTATTGCTGCCTCCTTTCTCTTCTGCTCGCGCTCGTGTTCGTCAGCCTGAAAAAAAGAGAAGACCAGGTCCGATTCAACTAGTCCTAGGGCAAAAGCGTCCGAGAAAATGTGAAATTGAGGAAAATTAATTTCGAAATGCAGCAAAACCCCAAAGTGGCATTGCAGCGAATGCCCGCGGGTTAAAAGTGACATTTGGTCGAATCCCATTTTAAAAGTGGCATTGTAGCGAAGCCAGGTTTTTTGAGTGACACATATGCAAATTTCTCATGGGAGTGGGAGAAAGAACTTGTGCAGTGAAAATGTATATTTCTTCGTCGGGGACTATCATTAATTTGTAAATATGGGACAAACATGTTTATATGTGTCAGGGTTACGGATAAAGCATACCCTCTATCCTAGGATTCATCATTCATGAGATATACGGATACGGTATATCGTCCAGTATAAGGAGAGGACTCATTTAAGATAAGGAAATCAATGAGTTCTTATGGAAATATTCCTTAAGAGCGGGAATTATTAGAATACTACTCGAAGGGGATAGGGATTGTGTCATACCATACAGGGTCTGTTGTCTCCAAGTTCTACTTAGAGACCAAGGTGATTTGCGGTATAAATACATACCCCCGGGGAGGTACGGGGCATCGAATCTTAGCGCAAGACACCCGCCACCACATAAGTAATCCGGAGGACTTGAAGCCTATTCGCCGATAGATCTCATCGAGCCCTTCTCGACAAGGATCTCGTCAGTAATCTCGTAGTTCGGTTGTTCTCTTTTATAATATGTGGTTTCTTCTATAATCCCATATAAACTGAATTAGGGCTATTACCTTACGAGGGGCCTAAACCAGTATAATCCTTATCTTTTTGTGTGCTTGATATCGTATCGTGTAGATCCTTATACCAACGTACCCCAATACCATCAAAATACGGTCCGCGGGTATCCCCGTCAACAATATGTATACGAATGTTTTCAGTTTTACATATTGAAATACTATTTTATTTGTCAGTGCAAGATATTAGGTATTATGTACTAAGAACGACAAATCAGTTAGGCCCTATGCATAGCATTTCAGATTTCGATTAGAAATAGCGGGAAATATTATATCACATGGGGGCACAATCTTCCCAAATGGCCAGTGGGTTATAGGCCACGTGAGAAACACATTATTGCAGGCTGGCACATGTGATAATTGATCTTCCTTGGGATCACGTTAAGAGACTGGCCTGCAATAATGCCGTGAGTCTTCGCATGCGGTTGGGCCACCTGCATGCAAAAATGTTGATTTTCGCAGACACATGTATGCAGGTGAGCCATCAAACCGCATGTCAAGATCGTTTTTTGTCGCATAGAAAAACTAATTTTGTCATCAAGAATTTGCATGCATGTGCCAAAAAGTCTTTCAGCTTACAACATTATATGGTCATAGATTAGTTTCAGTTTTGTTGGGCAGCGAGAGGCCGATCCATAACTTCTGCCTTTGTGAACGACAGCAATGCCACCAATCGAGAAATGAACGGCTGAATGGCTTGGACCCACCGTAGTGACTAATCATGTCAGCCATAAATTAATAACACCAGGTGTTTACTCTATAGAAAAGATCAACGAAAATAATCACCGGTGGCAAAGAAAGATAAACCAAAACTGAGCACATCCTTCCCCTTTTGCTCCCAAGTCCCAACGTCGAAGAATGTATGGATTGACATCCTATATCTATTCATCCTGCTATCTTCGAACGAGAAAGTATAACATGAAAATCACTCGTTGATGCAGCCTAAGAATGATGCAACAAACTTCTTTTTGTTCGATCTCTTAACATACCGTGCCTTACTGCCTAGAGCCCACTACGGTGCTCTCTATTGTTAGTAAAAAGTAATCTAAACCGTGGATCTAAGGTTCAGATCTATTTATATTACCACTCATTTAGTGGTAGTAGAAACATGAATGGGAATTATTGTAAAAAAAATAGGTGCGGAAGGGTATAAACATCATTTATCATTGACTAAACATTTTTTCTTCTTTGCTAATATGAGCGATATCAGCGCAATGGATATCGATTTAGTTAGGAAAAAACATAAATGATAGTTACTCCTAATCATGATATTAGTAAATTATTTATTTGCTCCTAATAATATTGGTCGTATAATACTAACAGTAGACAACACCGGAGCAAAATATACTATTGTATAATGTTATTCAAATTCTCTCTTATAAGGCTATCTTGAAAAGCTCTTGCTAATACTATTTGCTAAACATAAAAGTTATCATTGAATAAGACTATAAGATCTGTAGCTTTTAATTTTGTTTATTGTGCTTTTCAGCTGGAGATTGTTGTTTGTTTTTTTTCTCTTAAGAGTAAATACTTGATTATCCTTTTTTGAAGGGCCAAAATATACTACTCTGTAATGTTATTCAAATTCTCTCTTATAAGGCTATCTAGAAAAACTCTTGCTAATATTGTTTGCTAAACATAAAGGTTTTGTTTGAATAAGACTATAAGATCAGTAGCTTTTAATTTTGTTTATGGTGCTTTTGAGCTGGAGATTGTTGTTTGTTTTTTTTCTCATAAGAGTAAATACTTGATTATATCAATTAATTGGCAGCTAAATACTTACTACGGTGGTTATGGGATCAAATGGTTTTAGTAATGAAATGTGTTCCATTATTTATTAATATCTGTTGGTATTCTATCTGGGATGAAAAATTGTTGTAGAAAAAGTCAATGAAGTTTTTTAACTGGTAAAACATCTTCAGACATTTTGGCAACTTGTTGCAAATTTGCCATATATATGACTTTGGATTCACTCGTTCACTGTATCAGGCTATGTACGTATTAGAGAAAAAAATAGTAGTACGATCGTTTGATGATTAAAAACCCAAGACGTGGCAGTCTTGCAACATAGTTTCGTCAACAAACAGACGTAATGTGTTGCAAATTTGTCATATATATGACTTTGGAATCACTCTTTCACTGTATCAGGTTATGTACGTATTAGAGAAAAAAATGGTACAATATTTTGATGATTAAAAACCAAAGACGTGGCAGTCTTGCAATATAGTTTCGTCAACAAACAAACGTAATGTGGATTGCAGATTGTAGGGGACACGGTACCCGAGTAGCCGAGGTTAGGCCTTTGGGCTATATTACATAAGGTGGGCTAAGAAGTCTAAGCCCATATGGCACATTGTAATCCAATACTTCCTCCGTTTCATAATGTAAGACTTTCAAGCATTGTTCATATTCATATAGATGTAAAAGTCTTACAATACAAAACAGAGGGAGTAAAAGGGATCAAAGATAAGAATATAAATCTTATCCGATATAAATAGGTGGTAGGTACCCGGATTATATGGGGTACGCTACCTACCGTAGCCGGCCTCCTTATGTCTATATAACGGTAGGCCGGAAACAATTAGGGTGATCATACACGTGTTACGTGCTATTCACACACCGTGTTGCGCACACTTTGATACAGATCTAATCTACAAACAACTGAAGTAGGGTGTTATCTCTTCCAAGGTCTTAATCAGTATAAAAATATATCACCATCTCTCCTCGATCTTGTGCACCCTATAAATTTACTTGCCAATCTAGAGAATCGACACAGATGAAAACAAAGGAATGAAATATCAAAAATACATCTTCAGTGCTCGCATAAGTTTTATGGCTTTTCTTCTAAAGGTCTTGAGCCCAAATACTACCAGTACCAAGCTAGCAAATATATGTGAAAGAAACTTGACCATAAATAGTATAACGAGTGAATTGCACTTTAGACCAACTTTTGTTGCCGCGGTTTCACTTTGGACCATCCTTAATCCAAACTTTTCACTTTGGATTAGCTAAATTTATGTTTGTTTTACTTTAGACTACTCAAAACCACTTCTTTAGCACATTAACTAAATTTATGTTTGTTTTACTTTAGACTACTCAAAACCACTTCTTTAGCACATTAACTAAATTTATGTTTGTTTTACTTTAGAATTAACGATTGAGGACATTGGCTCCATCACGTTGGTAAAATTCTCCACCTATGAGACGGTCATATATTTACCGGAGTATACCGGTCAAAATTGGATTTGGGGTGGTTCAAAGTGAAACTATGGCAATAAAAGATGCCCCAAAGTGTAATTCAGTTTGTAAAATTGACATGAAACAAAACAGAAGTTGCAAATTGAGTTACGAATTGCGCTGCATGAATGCATAGGACAAAATAACCATACTTGTTTGATTAAGAAAACATACCAGCAACAATAGACTTTTTAAATGTCTCTAGCATGAAGAAACCATGAAGAAAACATCGTGCGTGTAAAATTTATATGACCAAGGGCCATCATCAGTGCTTTAGCTTTAGTGGCAGGCCTGGAAGAGGAACATGAGAGAGGACAAGAGAGGCACTATGCCAAATTGTCACTTAATAGGATTTAAATCCTGGTTCCAACAAGTGTTACACGTATATGTCTGATTAACAGGAATTTATTAAGACGAGGAATTTGTCACTAGACTTCATCTCTTCCATTATCATGTGTTATAAGAGGTATACTCACAGGTATTTGTGCACAGCTTCCATGTAATTAAAAAAAAGGCACTATATAGTGGCAAATTCAGAGTAAGGGCTCGTAACTAGCGCGATTCAATGTCAATCTCCAACCTCACAATTACAGTGCTCATGGTAGTAAGTTTTTGTTATTTACACTGAGATACACCTAAGAGAGGTTTTCCATTATTGTACAACAGTAACAACAGCTGGATGGCTTGCTATCAATTTGAGTTTTCACTGATACGCTAGCATTCTGCAGAGAACAAAAAATATGTCAATAGAGCATGTGCCACCGGCCCACCGGCCCACCGCCCCACATGAAAGTATTGAGTTATGAATCGCTAGCATAACAGCTGGGGCTTTCACTTATGTGCTGGGATTTCTACAGAGATCAACAATGCCAACAGAGCCATGTGAAAACTGTGAGAGTTTTAAACTATAAATTGCTAACAGCAACGTCCACAAATTTCCACCATAAAGCAGGACCGGTTTTATGCCTTCCAGACAGGTTCATTGTTTCGTTGAAGACGCCATGCTGGAGAGCGAAGAATGTTTTGTTTAAGAAGCTAGAGTAGTGGGGAGTGCTTTGGAGGGTTTTCTACCTGTTTATTTTTGGTTGCAAAGTATGTTGTTGCAAGGCACATGATCTGTCTTAGACTGTTTCACCTTTTATTTTATTTTCCTATTTTGACTGGGTACATTTTAGTAGGTGCAGATCGAGTTTACCTCACTTCAAAAATAATATTCTATTCTGTCAAGAGAGATTCTGCTGGTGTCTTCCACGGATGAAAAGCTGATGTTAAAAAAAAAAGGAGTTCCTTTAAACAGGTAAACATGTTCAGATATTCAGGCAACTTTTTGCGAGTTTGCCAATTATGCATGACTTCAAATTTGCCCACCGTGTGTAAGGGTATGTACTATTAGAGAAAAACAAGTACGGTTTTTTAATGATTAAAAACCAATACTTGACAGTCTTGCAATAATGTGGACGGCAGATGAGAAGACCCTGAAAACATGGGAATGCAATAAGAAAAATACTTATATATTTTTTCTATTTATTTAATGTATAGTGCTCGTGTAAGTTTTATAACTTTTCTTTTGAAGTGCTTGAGCCTAAAATCTACCAGGCCTAGCAAATATATGTGAAGGAAACATGACCACGATAGTATAACTGACATGAAACCAAACAGAAGTTCTTAATCTCACATCAAATTCGTTTGATCAAAATAAAGAAGAAACTTATATATTGGAGGAACACAAAAGGCACTGGAGTTGAATTCTATCTTACATGGCCAACTTATGTTGAAAAGGAGAAAATTACTTCCTCTTGGGTGATGTTTTGCTCTCGAATTGTTAAATTTAGATACAACACATAATTGACCAGTAAGTTGATGTCCTGCTAAATGAAAGGATCAATGCTACTGTGCAAGAAATGCAAGATGAATTGGTTGGTTCACCTCTAGATAGTTTCAACCAACGAGAAAATGAAGAATTATAATAACAGTTTAAAGAGAAAGATATTTAGGTGCCAAACTTCCAGAGTTAAACAGATTATTTCACCTGACAGGACTCCTCCTAGCATGTTGCTGGCAAAAAATTGCTCATGTAGACTTGTGCGAGCATTTCACCAAGCTTTACTTGTGATTCAGTGGTAAGATGCAGATGATCTTCATTTAATGACAGTCCAAATGCGTCCACAGTTACAACATTGGGCAGGTTGATACCAAGCTGAGCTTTCCTCACTTTTTCAATGTTCTTTTTATTCCCAGATGCAAGAGCAACCTGTTTAATGCAAACAAATCTTGATATAAATGATACCCCATATTACAAATGATATCGAGTACAAATAAAGGGTAAGGTTGGTTGACACATAAGATGGCATCGTGTGTGTAGAAAGAGTGAAACCAGCCATCTTATATTGCTAACTGAATAAAGAAAATTCAAGGTTCAAAAGAAAGATTACAGAGCCATGCAAAATAAAACATATTAGTTTACTAGTTAAAACCAATCAGTTATCTTGTACTGGGGGATGTAAAAGAGGGCCTGATGATGTATTAAATCGAAACTATTAACTTCAACTTTATACATCCCTTAAAGCAACATCTAGGCACATGTATAATCGTCCAACCTTTTTTTTTTCTCTTATGTTTTGAATGACTGAATGTTATCACTGTTACGAATAAATGAGGTATCCTCTCCAAAGTGTAATAAGTAATAACTGAACGGTAACAAGGCCATATAAGTCACTTCCTAAATTCACGCACAAGACTAAGATGACTTATATTTAGAGTAACATATAGTAGTACAGCAAAAGCACGAAAACAATTGGTTAGTACATTTTAGTACAACTCTAGTATAAATCAACAAAACACAAATGTACCGATGAACTCAAGAGGGGAACAGGTAAAGTTCAACTTTAAAGATTTTTTAGTATTACAGATGGAAAAATGTTGCAACCAACTTTACTTTATAAAGATTCGTTTGTGACTAAAGTTATTCTAAAGAAACAATATGGTACTCTTGCAGATGGTAGCACCTTTTGAAAGTGGTGACAGAATATAGCGGTCGGTTACCTCATACATGATACATAGACATTAGGGACATTATTGCAAGGCTGAGAATAATGCTTTCCCTGCATATTTGCTCAATTATAATTACCATAGCCGCAAAGATAGTACACGAATACGATAACTTGAGCACCGGCAACACCAATTGAATATTGAATATGACTAAAATAAAGTAATTCACCATCAATATCCTGAATTCATTCTTTGTGTTATCGGAGTTCGCCTACTAAACTGTACAACTATGGGGAAACCACTTCTACTAAAAATATTGGGAGTGTTTTGATTATTTTCCTTTTGCATTGCCTCTCATTTAGGTCAACGCAGTCAAGAAACATGACACGGCCAAGAAATCCCCAAATACATTTCTTGAACAAAATTATCGTTGGCTCATCGCGTCCAGTTAATTCTCTAAATTTGAGAGTCAAATCAAGTAGGCAACCGAGATATGATGAATATCATCACCTGGATGAATGGCAGTTGAGGCATCCCAAGATCCTCCCTGACATTGGCGATGAGCGTCTCCAGGTTCCCGGCGTACGCGGCCGTGGCGGCGTCGGACTCGGCGTCGCTCTCCCCCTGGTACCACTGCACGGCCTCGATCTCCCCGCACTCCGCCGCGGCGCGCGCGCGGCGCACCATCTGGTCGTAGAGGCGCTCCCCGCGGGCCCACTCCCGGATGGCGGTGCCGCCGACGGCGCAGGGGACGAGGCCGACGCCGGAGCCGGGCGGGTCCAGGCGCGGGAGGACGGCGCGGGCGAAGGCCATCCCGGGGCCGACGCCGCAGGTCTTGGCCGTGTCGATGTCGGCGTGGAGCGGCTCCCGCGCCTCCACCCAGTCGAGCGCGGCGGTGAGGCGGAGGACGGAGGGGCACGGCGCGCACTCCGGCGGCACGACGCCGTCCCAGCGCCGGTGGTGGACGCCGCCGCGGCCGGCCATGTTGCTCTGGCCGGAGAGCACGAAGATGCGCATGGCGGCGGGGCGTGAGGCGTTTGGGTGTGAGCTGCAGCCTGCAGTGGGGCAGGTGGATCGGGGGGGAGTTGGGACGTCGTTTTGCTCTCATGGACGAGCAATTGCTTGCACTGTTCAAAAACTAAGCCGTCAAGTACTCAAGCAATCCTTTTTTACAAGTTACATTATTCAATCAGGCTTAAATAAACTACAACAATAATTCGAGATAAATAGAAAAACACATAAGGTAAACAAAATAGAATTGTCAACCTTCTGTCGACAAAAAATACATCCTAAATAGGCTAGATTTTAAGGTAAACAAAATAGAATTGTTAACCTTCTGTCGACAAAAAATATATCCTAAATAGGCTAGATTTTAAGCCATCAGATATGCTTCATAATTCACACGGTGATTCTCCTCCAACTTCGACGACCTCCTCTTCTTCTTTGGCATTGACAATATCATCTCAAACTCCAATCGAGAACCTATGGATTAGGGTTCCATTTTGAGGTGGGGGTAGGAGAGGGTAATGGAAAGAATAGGGAGATTATCGGGCTTACAGGGATAGTCATAGGAGGCAATGGAAATGGATGGGTGGCGAGGTGGCGACGGTGTCAATGAAGCCACTGGATCAGGATCTGTTGTTGGGCTTGGTGTTGATGGCGGGGGCAAAGTGGGCGATGGATTAGGAGGCAGCGGCGGATGGTGATGGATCTAGCATGCGAGGAGCTGTCGAAGATGAGGAAGATGACAAGGTAGGGCAACCTTGTCATCATTGGTTTGAGAATGCGTAATGGGTTGTAAGTTCAAGTGCCTTAATTTGATTTTGGTGATTAATGACAAATCTAACTATATGAGACTAATCATTTTTATGAGCCTTTCTTTGACTAGTCTCATTTGGATATGAAAGTAAAAATGATGAGAGGTATGTATTAAACTTCACATATTCTAACTTGGTCTCTCTTGTGGATCCAAAATATAGTGTGAGCTTGCTATTTAATCTTTATTGATTATGTGCATATGCGTTCCTTCATATCCATATGTATGCATATCTTGAGGGGGAGCTTATTCTATATTTTGTTTATTATAAGATTTCTATCTTGATTTGAAATCATTTTTCATCTCATCTCTCTATATTGTTTATATCGGGTTATTATCCATCACCAAAGAGAGAAAAGATTGAAAGATCTTGGATTAAACAATTTGTGTAATTGTTACTTTGGTAATAGATGATAAACCGATGTTTATGGGATTAACCTCTCTTTTGCATAAGTTGCCTACTAGGTTATTTCCCGATAATGAGATGTGGAAGACATGCATTCTTTTGTGATGGACCTTAATCATGACAAGGATGAAATGCATGGAGATAAAACGATATGTACCACTTCTTATCTCCTACTTTTTGATAGGTTCATATATATGATTTCCATGTTATTGATATATAAGTGTGAGACTAATGTTTACTCGAATGTTATCTTATTTAGTCTTATTTACATTGAGAACATGGAGATCATGAAGGTATATGTTTTATGTTGGTCTACATCATTACTACATATGCCTTCTCTATATGTATAGGATAAACCCCCATTGGTTATTCTCTAATTATGCATACACTTGCATCTCTTGTATATTTATTTGTATCTTGTATATTTATTTGTATGCATATATTTAGGGGGAGCAAATCCTATACATTTATTGTGCATGTTCTAGATCCATGTTGTTCACCTATTATTTATATCGGATCTTTGCACTTGAGCTTGCATACGAGTATATGACACTTGTGATGTTAATGAATACTCAACAAACATATCCATATCTTTCATATGCAACCGGTTGGTCATCAAGTTAAGGATGACAACCGATTTGTTGAGACTAATGTTCTCCTTTGAGGTGTGAAAAGGAATAGGTCCCACTACGATGAGACTAATGAATGACACCATGGGTTAGTGGTCACCAAGCCAAGGACATCGTCATGTTGGCAAGAATGAAGTCAAGCTTGTGATGAGAATAAAGTCTTGACAAAGGATGGACAAAACCTCGGCATAAACATGGTTCAACCGGATGGTCACAAGTGTTGATCTCAGCTCAAGCTTGACCCCAAGATGGATGGCGCAAGGCAAAGGTATAATGTAGCTAAGAATGTTTTCTTAGTCTTTTCCCGGTCTTGGTGTTTGGTGTAGACCGGATTTGTTAGATAGGCGCCGTACTATCAAGAGGGGTCTATGAAGCGAGCTTGTGGATGATCTTGTGCCATATTAGTTCATATGCATGTAGGTGCATTTTGTGGACTTGTCTAACCAAGTGTGATGAGTTTTCTCAACTCCTAAACCAAGAGAGAAGTGGGCATGTCCAATAGGAGTGAGTGACATCTTGTGGGTATGTCCGGTGGATATCCTTTGGAGTGTGAGCCCTTTATCCTTGACTTAAGTTGTGTTTCTTGGATGGATTTTTCATGGGTTGGATGGCCCTTTGAATAAGCTTTCCATAGAGTCCAAGAACGCCAAATTCCGAGACCCGAGTCAAGAGATATCGTCGTTTTACTAACGGTCGGTTGAGCTGACAAGTGACCTACGGTCTGACCGTGGGCCTTAGGCCGGTCTGACCGGGTCTGTTAGCCGGTCTGACCGGCGTGGTAAGGCCGGTCTGACCAGCCCCACTAGTCTGTTGCACTGGTCTGGTTTTTGGTGGCGATACAGAGCCGCCAGAGCCGCAACCGGTCAAACCGAGCCGACGGCGGTCTGACCGAGCCGTGGACGATCTGACTGGCCACTACACTGCGGTCAGACCGGCCAGGTTGAGTGGGCTCAATGATTTCCCTGTAACGGCTAGTTTTCTAGCCATTACAAAGTAGTCCGGTCTGACCGGCCTCACAACGGCGGTCTGACCGGCAGAGCACAAAGTTGGGGATTTCGGTTCCAACGGCTCGTTTTGGTGGTTGGGGGTATATATACCCACTCCCTAGCAGCAAGGGTAAGGTTTTGGCACTCCATTGCATTATCTTGAACCCTTGCAAGAGCTCTCACACCCTTGTGCACTTAGTTTATCTAGTGAAGTGTTAGAGAGTGAGTTAAGCCAATCCAAGTGCATTGCTTCATTGTTATAGCTAGTGTGGCACTTGATCATCCTCGGCAAGCATCCTAGACTTGTTACTCTTGGAGGTTGCCGCCTCCTAGACGGCTTGTGGAGGTGTTGCCCGGTGACCTCTCCGAGGAGATTGTGGAGGAGGCCCGTCACCGTTTGTGAGTGGTTTGGAGTTCACCACCTTCGGAGTGAAGGAAGAACTACCCCGAGTGATCGAGGCTTGGGTTGTCCTCTCCGTGGGCCGGCTCCCGCCTTGCCCACCCCTTGACGAAGGGGGCGTGAGGTGGCTTCGTGGTTGAGCGGTGGAGTTGGGCTCGCCTCAACGGGGATTAGGAAACCGGCGAGTTTCCGAACCTCGATGAAAAATTCCTTGTCTCTTGTCTCATTTATTTGTTGTATTTACATTTGTGCTATTTATATTCATAGAGACATATTTGAGCCCATATCACTTAGGTTTGCAAAACTTAACTTAGTTGCTTAGTTAACCTTGCACCTCACCTTGCCTAGCAACTTAGGTTAGTTTTGTTTAAGTGTCATTAAGTTTTAAAACCGCCTATTCACCCCCCCTCTAGTCGGCCTCCTTAATCCTACGTGGGTTTAGGAGGCTGATTGTGGGGTCTTGCTGGCACGGTTGAGGTCTTTTGGCCAGTTGAGTGGTGGCGTGCTGGGCTGGTGGCAATGGAGGAGACAGCGATGACGAGAAACATGCAGTAGGTGATAGTTTAGGCGTGTCCTGCTAAGGAAAAAAGTGGAAGGAATTAGGGTTTGAGTATACGAAGCAATTGTTCAAAAGTTGTTAGATTTTGATGGGTGTTTTTTTTCATCAAATGTATAATAGACAGACTCATAAAAAAGGAATTGATTACCTGTATTCGATGGAAAATTAAACCCCAAATCTTGCATATTGGACTAAAAATCAAACTCCAAGGACCCGTTCGTTAGTCATGCAGATGAGGATGTAGACGTAGGATTCATGAAATTCGGATGAGACTTCCTCTGGTTCGGGAACATAACAGTATCCTCTCGCGTCGTCCTCCCTAGGGGCGGCACGGGAGGTGACGACCCGGCTGCCCCTTCTCCCTCACCTCCCTCCTCCGCCTCGCTGCCGCCCGAGTGGCTACTGGCGCACGGCCACAAGGACAGTGGCGGCGGGGCCCCTCTCTCTCGCACGCTCGGGTGACCTAGGGAGTCACCCAGAGAGGCGGCGGCAATAACCACCAGATCCGCTCCGCTCCAGCCGGATCTGGCGGGGACAGGAACGGCGTAGCCGGCGGCGTGGAGAGCGACGGCGGTAGGAATAGCGATGGTGGTGGGGATGGCAATAGCGGTGGCGGAGTTGCGCGGATCCGGCGACGGCGCAGCATCTGGCGGTGGTAGAGGCGAGCTGCTCCAGACGGCGGTAGCCGATGGTGGCGGGGATGGTGATGGCAGCAGGGACGGCGATGGCGGTGGCGTTGTTCGCGGATCCGGCGACAGCACGGCATCCAGCAATGGAAGGATCGTGCGGCACTGGTGGCCTCCATCGCCCGATGCTACCCTCGTGGCGTCGGCTGGCGACGATGGTGCAAGGAGGACGGTCGGATCTGGCTCCTCTAGGTCCAGATCTGGCGCATCCTTAGTCGGGGTCGGGTGGTGTGGAGTCCTGTCATCGTGCAGGTGGTGTGAATAATGCAGGTACTTTTTCGGTATGCAGGTGGCATTTCGGAGCTTCCGTTGTGGATGCTTTGGTTGACAGGGTCTCTGGGGTGAAAACCTTGCTCCGCTCCGGTGCTAGTAACAGCGATGCCCTCGGGCACCATTCACCTTCTTGAAGGCGTTGCTTTTGGAGCCCTCATTTCAACTCCACTTTAAGGGAATTCTCTGGGTGAAAACCTTATATTCGTTAGGATCGGACGTTGTCACCGTTCTGTCGGCGTTACCTTCTTGAAGGCTTCGTTCTAGAAGTTTCTTCCCTTGTTGGGCTATTGTTCTTTGCGTTCAGTTTGTTAATGTCGGGTTTTCGTCGGTTTTCCTGAAATTAACTGTGCTGCTGTAAGGTTTTTGGGTCCGATTTTCTTTATAAA